CTTCACAGCATCCACTCCACACACACACACACACACACACAAGGCTATGTCTTCAGCTGCCCACAGCTAGGTCACACTGCTCCCGAGGCAGGCCCCTGCACTCCCTCTAATAGAGGCTGTGCTGGGTGCAGTAGTGGGCACACAGCTGTCGGTGGTACTGCAGGTGGTAGTCCTTCACCAGCTTGCCCAAGATGTAGAGGAACTCCTCAAAGCAGATCTGGTTGTCCCGGTTCTTGTCCGCCGCCTGGAACAACTGTGTGATGTAGTACGGCTCCTTCCGGCCCTGGGGAGTGAGTAGATGGTCAACCACGCACCCCAGCACCACCCTGCCGTGAAGGCCAGGCGCTCCTCGGCCTGCTGGTGGGAGGACGGGGGCGGTCGGCGGGGAGAGTGTGGCCTGGCCCTGTCTGGAGGGGGTTTGCAGGAGACAACTCCTCACTCAGTCAGTGGCCAGGACCCTCTGTGCTGCAGAATGTTCAGGCAGCAGTGTCGGGATCACCTCAGCTAACTGGACCTGGGGCTGCATGGGAGACAGAGAGTGCAGGCAGGGTTCCATGTGCTAGTTGACTGGGCACTCCCAACACAATTCACCTTTGCCCGTCATCAGGGGCTGTGGGCTAAGTCTATTCAGTCATATCTGACTCTGTGCAACCCCATGGACTGGAACCCGCCAGGCTCCTCTGTCCACGGGGATTTTCCAGGCAAGAACACTGGAGTGGGTTGACATGCCCTCCTCCAGGGGATCTTCCCAACCCAGGGATTGAACCCGTGTCTCTTGCATTGACAGGCTGGCTCTTTACCACTAGCGCCACTTGCCTATCTCTCCCGCACCTAAAGTGCCAGCTCCCCTGCAGGGACAGCCCAGCCCAGGGGCGTCAGGGTGGAAGGCTATGCCTTCCTCCTCCACAGCAGGAGCCTCCAGGGCAGAGCCCCCTGCCCCTCGTGTCTGCGTCTCCAGAGCTACTGCAGGACCAGCACCAGATGGGGTCAGACATCTCCATGTGATGTCATCTGCCTGGGAACTGTTTAGGACTCTGTGCCCGTGTCACCTCCAGACAGCACAGAAGATGGGAAAGGCCAGAGCTAGGGGCCCTGGAGTTGCTGGGACATCCCAAGTGGGCAGCCCTCGGGGCTGGTCCATGGAGGATAGGGGCATTTGAGGTGGAAGGGACAGCAAGGAGGAGTCCAGCTCAGAGGGCAGGTGAAGGCAGGTGGCTTAGTGAGCAGTGCGGGTGACGCAGGTGTCAGCAGGGTCTCGTTGGTGGGCATGGGAAAGCTGGGGTGAACCTCTCAGAAAACCTCCAGGAAGGAGGTCGCTGCAGTTGTAAGCAGCCGTGGGCCTGGGAGCAGTCCTCATCCCTCTGGAAACTCTCCCCTTCTGTCTCCTCCATGGCCCCACCACCTACTTACTGTCTTATCTCCTCCGCAAGTTTGGTTGACCTGAGAAACTGGAGGCCTCCGGCCTGCGGCAGGCATGTCCTGGCTTCCCTCCTCTCAGACCCCTGCCCAGACTGCTGTCTGCCCAGTGAGTCCCCCAGTGCAGGTTCTGGGGGTCCTTGCAAAGCCCCATGACACTGGCAACTGGCCTTGGAAAGAAAAAGTTTTCCCAGAAACAGGGACTAGCCAGTCACCCTGGTCCCACTGCCCCGTGACTCTCGAGGCTGCACTCCAATAAACGGAGGGTGAGGCTCTCTCCTCTGACGTGTCCCAGAGGCAGGCAGGGGACACGGCATGAGACGTGACGAGAGGAGGCGCCTCTCCTGGAATGGAGGGCCTTGAGTTGGGCACCCCCTGAAGTACTCTGGACGTGGCAGTCCAGAGACCCCGGGGCTGGGCGCCACGGGCCAAGGGACAGACACTTCCGCCAGCCTTGCAGTCCCCAGGGAGCAGGGTGGTCACGGGGCTGGGCCTGATGACAGAGGGGAGGCACAAGCCTGAGGAGGTGACTGAGCCCAGCCTGAGTTCCGGGGCTGAGCCCCCAGGCTGCTCGGAGGGACTCTGTTGGCCTCTCAGAGAAATGATATTTCCCAGCCCCGCAGGTTAGCAGCAGCCACCACAGCCCAACTGTCCTCCACTGGGACCGGAAGTTGGATGAAAGAGGCTTGTATTGACCCCAGGAGAAGGGCCTAGGGTTCAAAGGTCAGGTGTGGGGCAAGGTCGCTGACCGAACTAGCCTGTGGGCAGAGGAAGGATTTAAGTCCTTTTCTTTCCAGAAGCAGGTCAGGCAGAAGAACAAACAGGTTTGGGGTTAGGACTGAGTTTCAGGGATTAGCTGTGTTTGGTCTGGAGTGGGGCCAGGCAGAGAGTTTCAGGAGAGGGAAGGACAGAAAATAAAGCTAGGCTGGGCCACGCTTCCCCCACCAAACATCCTGCCCTCCGCCCTCCCGCATACCCCCTTCCCTAGCTGGAAGTGCCCCTAAGAGATGGCTTCCTGTACCTTCACCCGCACCACTCACTTCCAGCCCCACAAGCAACCCCAGACTTCCTGTATCCCCACCCAAGCCCACGCACCAAGGCCTCCATGAAGCGGGGCACATTGTCCGTGAGCAGAGCCTTCAGCTCCTCCAGCGACAGTGTCTCCACATCCCCTTCCCGGGCAGCGTACTCGTGGTAGCAGTGGATGATTTGGAAGAGGGATTCCTCCACTGGTGTGTCCATCATGGTGGCTGGGTCTGGGCCCAGGGTGGGGCAACTCGGGAGATGCAGGGAGAAGCAACTGCAGACAGTGGAGAATCTGGGGGCAGAGAGCACAGCAGAGCAGGCCAGGCGGAGGCCAGGCCACAAAAGGTGGGCTCTTCCTCCAGGAATCTTCTGCCTGCCTGTGTAAGGGCCCCTCTCTGCCCTCCCCACCTGACCCCTTGCAAACTTGGCTCAGCCTCCCTGGCCTGCAGGAAACTGCCACAAATTTAGGACAGGGCTGTGTCCCTTCCCCGAGCCAGCAGGCTTCCAGGAGACAGGGTCTGTGTCCTGTGTCCCACCCTCAACCATGCCCTCAGCTTAGGAGCTCTCGAAATCAAGAATGAGAAGAAATTAGACTCTCGGAAGCAAGATGACATATTCCAAAGGAAATATTTTTAAACACCTTGAGAAGGCAAGATACCCACTACCATAAACTATTTTGTAACACAAACAAAATATTGAGATAATTATCCCACCCAGAACTCCAGACGTGCTCAAATACTGTTTTCCTTTTGGGGCTGAATACAGACGGCACAGGGATCCCCACCTTGCTCCCACTCCTGCCCTGACTGGCCCTCTCTGAAGGAGTCTGTGTGCCATGTGCACGCCCCCCGGGCCCCCAGAGTCTGTGTGTGGGGCTGTTCAGTGCCCAGTGTCAGGGGCAGGCAGGGGTGCCGCGGCCTCTCCCAGTCACCCCACAGCCCCATCCAGGTGCTCTACATGGGTGAAGGCAGGTGCCCTCAACCCCCTGCTCCCCACTTCCTTTAGAGATGAGATCCCTGTTTTCAGGAGTCAGGGCTGTCCTTTAGCATCAGCTGTCCTCTGTGGATTCTGGGCAGATAAGATTCCAACTCTTACAGAGCCAGCCAGGCCCTGGGCAAAGCAGTTTATCCCATGCAATCTTCACAATGACCTTATAAAGTAGGCATCACGCCCCCACCCCATTTTCCTGAGGAGGAAATGAAATCTAAAAGGGCTAAGTAAATTTCCCCAAATCACACAACTGACCATTTAGAGCTGGAATCAGTCAGTGTCTTTGGGGTTATAAGACATGTTTTTGATTTGGAAGTCCTTAACCCTTTTGAGGCCACAGTATGCTATCGGGACATCCATCTACAAGGCACACATCCTCCAAAATGGGTAAGTGACTCCTTTCATCTATCCTGGACCTGTGCAGGACATCCTGGACCCACACAACCCAGCCCACCCCCACAGCTCTCTCGGACCAGGCGCTGACCTGTTGCTGCTGGGGTGAGGCTGCTGGTGATCCACAGTCTTGATCTGTGTTTTATCCTAGAGATGCCTCGGCACTCAGGCAGGAGGCAGTTGTGAGAGCAGGGGCTCCTCCGCCAAGTCCCACATCCTGCCCATCCTCAGCGCCTCCAATTATGGCAGCCAATGCTGTGACTCTTAACAGGTTCCTCAGAAGCACAACTGAGCCTTAATTGCATTCCTGAGATGACATCACAGGACACTGCTTTCTATGATTAACTCAGTCAGTTTCAGGGACCCACCTGCCCTCAGAGCCTGATCTAAAACATCTCAGAACCACAGAAGACCATGTTATCCATCTCCCCACCTCAGAGCTCATCATCACAGCTCCAGGGCTCATTCAGGGTCAGACACACAACTTAAATACATCTTTGGGGATTTCCTCCCTCAATTAGCAAACCCCCAAACTCCAGAGTCATGAAGCACATTCATTCATCCAACAAATGTTTCTCAAGCAGGAGGCCCTCTCTAGGCAATAAAGAGTAAGACATGAGGCCAAGTCACAGGGTGGGGACGCTTGGAAGGGACAGAGTCACACACAGTCAGAGAGCACTGGGAACACTCCTAATTTAGTATCATAAACAGGGTACCCTGAGCACCCAAGGAGCACCTTTTGCCTGCCTGGAAAGCCGAGGAAGGTTTCCTTGGGAGATGCTATTTGCCATGGCACTTGAAAATATGGTTGCAAAGAGATGCATGAAGAACCAGGCACTCCAGACAAAGGAAAAGGCTTCGCTCACAGGCAAAGGCTCAGGTGCATAAGAGAGAGTGGCTTGCTTGGGGGATGAAGTCCACAGGGTATCCGATGAGCAGTTAGAAGAAAGAAGACTGAAGAGGCAGGATGGAGACCAAATGTGAAGGGCCCTATGTGCCAGGCTAGGGCTGCAAACTTCTTCCTGTGCGAAGAAAGGAGCTGATGGAGGATTTTTAAATAGGTTGGGTGATGGGTGAGAGGTGACAGAAGTAGTAAGAACACCTTTTTTATAAGGACGTAACCCACTGCAAAGAGGAAGTGATCTGGGCGTGGCCTGAGGTCCTCGCGCGGCGTTATGTCTGCGCTGCACATCTCGCGTGTCCGGGCCTTGTATCCGTGCATCTTGCTGCTGCACCGGGTTCTGCCCCCAGACCTCAAAGACCTTGGCGACCAGTACGTGAAGGACGAATTTAAAGAGGCACAAGACCGCTGGTTCTAAAGAGGCCGAGCGATTCCTGCAGGAACGGGAGGCATATGCAGCAGTGCTGTGGCAACAAGCTAATGAAAACAGACAAAATTCAACTGAAAAAGCATGTTTTGGAATCTCCCTACCAGAAGAAAAACTTAATGACTTTTGTGATGAACAGATTGGACAATTGCAGGAACTGATGCAAGAAGCCACTAAACCCAACAGGCAATTTAATATTACTGAGTCTAGGAAACCAAAGTTTTAGTCTACACAATAAAGTTTAAAAAAGCATTTCAAGTTCAGAGCCCTTTAACTATCATTGGTTTTTAAAATTTGTTTCTTAAGCTTTTAGATTTGGGAATGCCTGGTGTTAATGAAATATTCTTTTGGGGGATATTTTGAATGTTGTCTGTAATATACAGATCAGGATCATGAGTGGATGAAACTAACATTTATTGAAGTAGTAACAGTTGCTGGATAGGATTTGTGCTTTGGACTACATAAGAAAGAACGGTTCTAAACTGCACGAGCTTGTGGAATTTTCCCCAAAATTTTATATGTAAATGTGTTTTAATGCTATTCATGTTTAAGCATTAGTCTCACGGCTCTAGCTCTATTAGATAAGTATTTCATGATCATGATAGATACAGAATTCCAAGGTCATTACTTAATTTCTATTTGCATGGAATACTTTTTTCTATCCTCTCACTTTCGTTCAGTATCCCTAGATCTAAGGTGGGTCCCTTGTAAACAGCATTTATGGGGATCTTGTTTTTGTATCCATTCAGCCAGTCTGTCTTTTGGTTGGAGCATTTAATCCATTTAGATTTAAGGTAATTATCAATATGTATGTTCTTATTGCCATTTTGTTAATTATTTTGAATTTGTTTTTGTAGGTCTTTTTCTTTTTTTTTTTTTTTTTTTTGGTTTATGGTTACAATGAAGTTTTAATATAGCGGTCTATATTTTAAGTTGCTGGTCTCAAATGCATTTCCAATATCCTGCATTTGTACTCTCTTCTCTTCTCTTCTCACAGTCACTGGTTTTGATGTTTGTGTGTGGATGATTGCCTACTTTTACTGTATGTTTGCCTTTATGGGTGAGCTTTCCCATTTGTAATTTTCTTTTTTTTTTTTTCCCCATTTGTAATTTTCTTATTTCTAGTTGTAGCCTTTTCATTTCTGTCTATAGAGAAGTTCTTTAGCATTTGTTGTAAAACTGGTTTAGTGGTGCTGAATTCCCCCAGCTCTTGATTGTCTATAAAACTTCTGATTTCTCTGTCGGATCTGGGTGTGAGCTCTGCTGGGTAGAGTATTATTAGTTGTAGGTTTTTCCCTTTCATTACTTTAAATAAATACATCATGCCACTCCAAAAAAAAAAAAAAGAGGAAGTGATCTACTCTAAAGGGGTCCAGATGTGTAAGCTTGGCCTCCATTCAGGTGCCATCTGGCTGACAGGTTCTTGAGTGACAGGTGAACTGCCTCCCCCCTCCTTGCCCCCAAGCCTTCTGTCAGCCACCCACTTCCACTTTTGTTTCACCCATGCATCTTCCATGGGAGGAGCCACACAGGCTGATGAGTAAATCTCCCAGAAGGGAGCGCCAAAGGACAGTTAATTAACCAGAGATTGTGTCTTGGCATGCCTGAAGATTTGAGAGAAAAATAGGCATATAGTTAAAGCGAAATGTTTTCCAGTTTACAGGGTGAACCTTCATCTGCCCAACTTAATGATTTCCTCAGCAAACAAGTGGTTCATCAATACACTTTTATATTTTGAAAATAAAAGCAGGGCTCAAATTTCTAAACAGTAAAACAATTTGGCAATGCCAAGCTGAAGTCACAGAGATATGTTTGATTCAGCCCTCATTCTCCTGGGAATTTATTTTACAAAAGTAATCAGAGAGACATTTAAAAGCAATAAATAAGAAAATGTTCACAACTCCAATATCTATAGCCAAGGGACAAAATAGAAGTGAAAACCTTGAAAACAACTACTTATCAAATTTCATGTGGAGATACATCCTTGGACAACCTCCACATAATAATTTGTTATTCAAAAGGAAAGCCATTTTTGGCCCATGGCATGAAGTGGGTAGAAGGTCATTTGTATCCCTCTTCACCCTGCCTTTGTTCAACCTAGGAAAAAATGACTCTCTACCCCATTGCACTACACAATGATGACCTCCTTCCACAGCTCTGTTCTAACTATTTTGTCTCTTATTATTATGCTGTGGACATCTTCTCACACTATTACTCAATGTGAGCCTGGTTTTTAATAACTGTGGAGTGATCATTTGTTTCATGTATCAAAATTTATTTTCTTAATCTATTGTTGGCAGACATTTAAAATACTCTAAGTCTGTGCACTTTAATCAACTCTTCCTTAATGTTGATATTTCTTCAGAATTTTGACATGTGTGCTAGGTTCTGGGGAGAAGGGGAACAGAATGGAATTGACATTCCCTTCCCCTGCCAGAGCCAACACTCTGTATCCACCCAAAGCCCACACCAGAGCCACCAGCCACATCTCACTATGACAAGCAAATCCCTAAACACCAGTTCTACAAACCACCCACACATACACACACCTGAACAGAGGCATCACTGCTGCAGTGAGAGCTCCCATACACTAGGCCCCAGAGGGCTCCCCTCAGCCACGCTTCCTTCTGTGAGAGAAAAGGCCCAGCCCAGCAGCCTTCCCCATCCTAATGTAAAATTCAGTAGACTCCTTTACCGTGTTGCATCAGACTGCATGTATCCAGATATTTACCTTTACCTGTGAGATTTATGCTGTCCTGTGTTTTCACATTGCTGTTTAGTGAGTTCTCATTTCAATTTGAAGAACTTTCTTTTTTTTTTCTTCTCGTACCTAGATGCCCATCAGCAGACGAATGGATAAGGAAGCTGTGGTACGTATACACCATGGAATATTAGTCAGCCATTAAAAAGAATTCATTTGAATCAGTTCTAATGAGATGGATGAAACTGGAGCCCATTATACAGAGTGAAGTAAGCCAGAAAGATAAAGACCATTACAGTATACTAACACATATATATGGAATTTAGAAAGATGGTAACAATAACCCTATATGCAAAACAGAAAAAGAACTTTCTTAAGTGTTTCTTGTGAGGCATTTCTACTGACAACAAAGTCCCTTAGTTTTGTTTGTCTGGGAAAAAAAAAAAAGAAAAGCCTAAGATCTAATGATTTCATGGGTGAATTCTACTAAACATTCAGAAAAGAAAACCACCAGTTCTTCTTAAACTCTTTCAAAAAATAGAAGAAGGGGGAACATTTCCAAACTCAGTTCTTGAGTCCAGCATCACCCCAATACCAAAATCAGGTAAAGAGTCTACAAGAAAATAAAACTACAGGCCAATACCCCTGATGAATGTAGATGCAAAAATCCTGAGTAAATACTAGCTAACTGAATTTAAAAATACATTAAGAGGATCATGTGCCATAACTAAGTGGGGTTTATCCCAGGGATGCAAGGATGGCTCAACATGTGTAAGTCAATCAAGGCCGTATAATACATTAATAAAATGAAAGGGAAAAAAAAACAATATTATTTCAATAAATGCAGAAAAGGCATTTGACAAAGTTTAATTTTTATTTACAATTAAAACTCTCAACAATGTAGGTATAGAAGCATCTTATCTCAATACAATTAACGGCATATATGAGAAGCCCACAGGTAAATTTATAGTTAATGGGGGAAAAACTGAAAGCTTTCCTTCTAAGATCTGGCATAAGGCAAGGATGCTTACTCTTGTCACCTCTCATCAACATAATAATGGAAGTCCTAGTTAGAGAAATTAGATAAGAAGAGGCAATAAAAGGCATCCAAATAGGAAAAGAAGAAATAAAAGTATCTGTTTGCAGATAACAAGATGATACACATAGAAAACATTAAAGACTAAATAACTACAAAAATCCTGTTATAAATAATAAACTAATTCAGTAAAGTTACAGGACATGAAATAAACATATGAAATCCACTGTATTTCTATACAAAAATAATAATCTATCCAAAAAGGAAATGAAGAAAATAATCTCATTCACAACAGCAACGAAAAGAATAAAATACTTAGGAAACAACAAGAGGTGAAAAACTTGCACTCTGCAAACTTATAAACATATTTATTAAGGAAATTTTTAAAAACACAGACAAAAGGAAAGACATCCTTTGCTCATGGATTGGAAGAATTAATATTGTTAAAAAGTCCATTCTAACCAGAGTGATCTATAGATTCAATGCAATCCCTATCAAAATCCTAACAACATTCTTTATAGAAATAGAAAAACAATCCTAAAATTTGTGTGGAACTGTAAAAGATCCTGAATAACCAAAGCAATCTTGAGCAATAAGAACAAAGCTAAAGACATTTGATGATTTCAAAATCTGTTACAACACTACAGTAATCAAAACAGTATGATACTGGCATAAGAACAGACATATAAATGGATGGAACAGAGTATAGAGTCCAGAAACAAATCCACACCTTAAAGTCAACTGATCTTCAGCAAGAGTGCCAAGAACACAAAATGAGGAAAAATCAGTCTCTTCAATAAATGGTGTTGGGAAAATTGAATATCAACATATATCAACATGCAGAAAAAGGAACCATGATCTCACCATATACAAAAATCAACTAAAAGAAGGATTAAAGACTTAAATGTAAATCCTGAAACTGTAAAACTGCTAGAAAAAAACATAGGGGAAGAACTTCTTGATACTGGTCTGGGTAATAATTTTTTAATATGAGCCCCAAAATCACAGGCAGCAAAAGCTAAAATAGACAAATGGGATTGCACTAAATTAAAAAGCTCTGCACAGCAAAGGAAACAACCAACAGTGAAAAGGCAACCAGAATAGGAGAAAATATTTGCAAGCCATATATTTGATAAAGGGTTAATATTGAAAATAAATGAGAAACTCATACAACTCACCAGCCAAAAAATTAATGTCCCACAGGCAAA